AGTAAAGACTGGAAATTATGGCAGATGGATGTGAAGAATGCTTTCTTGAATGGAGAATTAGACCGAGAGATCTACATGAACTAACCAAAGGGATTTGAGGATGAATTTAATCCCAATCATGTGTGGAAGCTGAGAAAAGCTCTTTACGGATTGAAGTGGGCACCAAGAGCCTGGTATGGTAAGATTGTTGAATTTCTAACCCGAAGTGGTTATTCAGTTGTACATGTAGACTCAAACCTGTTCGTCAAAGAAAAAGAAGGGAAGGTGGCAATTGTGTTTGTTTATGTGGATGATTTGATCATTACTGGGGATGACGATAAAGAAATCCATCAAACAAGAGAAAATCTATCGGTGCGATTCCAAATGAAAGAGTTGGGGGAGCTTAAACACTTCTTGGAGTTAGAAGTTGATCGTACAAAGGAAGGGTTGTTCCTCTGCCAACAAAAGTATACAAGAGATATACTTCAAAAGTTTGTCATGTTGGAGTGTAAGCCAGTATCAACACCAATAGAGCCAAATGCCAAGATATGTGCTCATGAAGGAAAATAGTTGGACGATGGAACGATGTATCGACAACTAGTAGGTAGTCTTATCTACCAAACTTTATCTCGGCCTGACATTGCTTATGTAGTTGGAGTTATGAGTCGATACATGCAAAGTCCGAAGAAACCTCATTTGGAAGCTGCCCGACGAATCTTGAGATATGTCAAAGGTACAATTGACTATGGTCTCTTGTATAAAAGAGGAGAAGATTGCAAGTTGGTTGGATATTGTGATGCTGACTATGCAGGAGACCATGATACCCGAAGATCAACCACTGGGTATGTGTTCAAGCTTGGGTCGGGGCCAATTTCATGGTGTAGTAAAAGACAACCAACCGTATCGTTGTAAACCATATAAGCGGAGTACAAAGCAGCGGCCATAGCAGCTAAAAAAATTACAAGGTTGGTACTCCTAATGGAGGACTTACATCAAAAAGTTGACTATGCAGTACCACTTCATTGCGATAACCAATCTGCAATTCGGTTGGTAGAAAATCCAGTATTTCATGCTAGAACAAAGCATGTGGAAGTGCATTATCACTTTATCAGAGAGAAAGTCTTGATGGAAGAAATTGAGATGCGACAGATCAAGACCGATGACCAAATAGTTGGCTTGTTCACCAAAGGGTTGAGTACTGGAAAATGTGAAGGTTTTTGCTGTCAGTTTAACATGGTACTAAGAATGGGGGCTAGTGCTGAGGGGGAGTGTTAAAGATCATCACTAGCCCAATAAGAACAAATATTATCTGGAAGAGTTTAGCTTGTTCTGGAATGTTCTAGAAGATTGTCGAACATTATGGAAGACTATAGAAGACTCTGGAATATACCGGAAGAGTCTAGAATACTCTAGAACGACATGGAAGACCCTGGAAGGTTATGGATCATTCTAGAAGACACTGGAGCAACCTAGACCTCTCCAGAACATGTTAGAACGTTCTAGAAACATATGGAAGCATGTAGAGTATGTTAGATAGTTCTAGAGTTATCTAGTATGTAGTAAGTGTATGCTAGTATCTAGAACCTTCCTAAGAGGCCTATAAATAGGTATGGATCTCATTTGCTCCAAACCATCCAAGAAAGCCTAAAAGAAAGCAAAGTGTATAGTAGTCTCACAAAGTGTAAGTTCTACTTAAGTGTCTTAATAAAAGTCTTGTTGTTTCCCATATAAAGAGTCGTGTTCAACAGATCCAACATAGTTAATTTACGAAGACTGAAAACCCACCGAGGCAACAAACCTTCGAAGAAGTTATACGAAAGATCCAAGACCATAAGAGAGGTAAAACTAACTCTAGTCAGCTCGCTAGGAAATTGAGTTAAGCCACATGAAGCAAAGTGCAGTTCTTGCAAAGAAGGTAGAGTGTTAATCGCATGAAGCCAGTGATCTGAAGCTCCGGTGAGGTTGATGCCACTCATATCCATGTACTGCAACTACTTCAGATTCTCTATCCATTTTAAGTTCTCCGACTGAAGATAACCGTCTTTAAGATCCAAAAAACTCCGATAAATTCCTGAGTTGATGAGGAATTTCCCCTGAGAATTGCGACATTGAGATGTTAAGATATCTCAGATTCGGAAAAGAGCCAACGAATGATGGAATCGGGGTGAATCCAAAATCGTTGCAACTCAAGTCTAGATACCGGAGTTGTTCTAACTTTATCAAAGAAGGACTTATAATTCCTCCTAACATTTGGTTTGTATCATTAATGTCAAATGATGATCCAAGACAATAGCCTTGTTGATCAGGTAGTCCACGAAGGTGAATCTCGTGGACGTGATGGTTGAAGTTATCGCAGACCACACCGGACCAACTGCAACAGTCGTCACCGGACCAAGAAGAGAGGCGGTTGGCACGGTCCACGAGGTTGTTCTTGAACTGGATAAGCATCGATCGTCCGGTGGCTATACATTTTACTTCATCTGAGTTCTGATTACATAAACACAAGGTGCAAAGTGATGAAGCAAAGAGAAGCCAAAGGCAAGTTGAAGAACAAGAAACAGCGACACGTGTGAGAGACTTCATGGCAGTGAAGATAATACAAAAGGTTGTGAGAAGAAAGAATTCTTCAAAAACAAACGGACCACTAAAATGAAATTTAGTCTCGATTAATAATCAAACCACTACAACCAAAAAATTTGTTGATTGTGACACTATGATGTAAATATAATATTAATTTCAAAGAAATTGTTTTATGTAATATTTTGTTTTTTTAGTGTTGTTTAAGGTATATGTTAAGATAGACAGAAAAAGTAGATAGGAATGAAATTTGCAAGAGAGATGAACTTTCCTGGGAGAATACTAAATATTGAGCCGAGTGAAATTGGGGTCAAAAGTCAAAACTCAACAAACCAGAGTCCACCCTAAATTCAGTCAATGTGTTTTTCTTATAAAATGTAATATATAAATATAAAAACTGTAAATATTTGATTTTATCATTTTATGGGTTTCTCGTGTTTGACAGATTTTTTGAGAGCTTTTAATAACTTCAATAAATTATTTAAATAAGAAAAGCTTCTTGGGAAGTATGAGATTAAAGTCTAAATTCAAAAATTACTTCAATTTTTTTCTTTTTATAAGCTTTTAAGTTTTAACTTTTAAATTTAATATAATTAAATATCTCAAAAGCTTAAAGTTATATTTGCCCAATATTTATATAAACTAGAAAAAAAAAACTCATGTTACGTAATGGGGTTAGGTTTTTTTTTATGTATTCTCAACAATTTAGTAAAAGCCAACATAAACAATTTTTGTAATTAGTTTTGTATATAGGGATCAAACCTGTCAAAATACAAAAATCTTATACATATGGATTGTATTTGAAGAAAAAACTTTACAAGGACTTTTTCTATAAATTAAAAAATTGCAAGGACTAAATCTATTAAAATATAAAAAAATTGTTGCAGGGACTAAATCTATCAAATGTATAACATTTGTTGTAAGGATCAAATCTACCAAAAGATTTTGTAAGGACTAGATATATCAAAATATAAAACATTTGTAGAGATTAAATCTAACAGAATATAAAACCTTTGTTCCATGAACTAAATATGTCAAGGACTAAATTTGTTAAAATAGAAAACTTTTATTAAGGGATTAAATCTATCGAAATATAAAACACTTGTGGCAAAAATCCAAAAGTTAAAAATGTCATTGTTCATAATCACCATGAGAATTATAAAAGTTATATAGCTTCTGTTAGTAACTTCCAGTTATAGCTACATTTTCAAACTATATTTTTTTTTTATTTGTAAAATATGACCTAAAAATGCAACATAAAATGACAATATAACATAATTTTCTAAGCCTTTAATTATTTAATATCATGCACTGGTCTTTTGTACTGTTATGAAAAGTAAAAGTTAAACTCACAATAAATCAGTATAATGAACGTCTTTTCGTAACAGGAAATATGTTACGATTTGATCCACTTGTATAGAGAGAGATACAAAATTGTCACTTTATGTGTCTAAAAACATTGTCCCGGTCTCAAGTTGGGAATTTTATTTAATGGAAAAACTTATTTTCAATTATGTCCCACCCATAGTGTTTTTTTCTACACGAGCCAAGTAGTCTGACAGACATCTTTTTATATAGTATTAAAAACACAACACAAAATGATATCATATTTTTATTTTAATAACACGAAATTAATCTAATTAAAAGCCGGTATACACAGAAATATAACAAAATAAAATATATTTTATTTAATTCATCCTTAATCATATAAAATACAACAAACACATGATATAACAAAATAAAATATATTTTATTTAATTCATCCTTAATCATATAAAATACAACAAACACATGTCAAAACAAAAACCATAAGATACAATTCCATGTTGTTTCCACTTAGGTCATGTTTGACATACTAGCTAAAAAGCTAGTTGTTAGCTGAAAAGCTAGTTGTTTAATAAAAAGCTAACTGATAGCTGAAAAGCTAGCTGATAAAAAATAACATTTAATAAAACTAACTGAAATATATAAAATTACATAAAAGAATATGTAAGAGTATGTGTTTCTATAATTAATTAAGGGGTGTATTTAAATTTTTTTTAAAAAGCTAGTCTAAGGGGGTGTTTGGATTAGATTTTTAGCTTATTGCTTATAGCTTATTTGTGGTGGAAATAAGCAATAAGCAATAAACATGGGGAGGGATGTTTATTAAAATTAGCTTATTTAGCCTAATAAGTTGGATTTTATCCAAACACTTAAATTAGCTTATTGTGGGAATAAGCAATAAGCACCTCGAAAAATAAGCTAGCTTACCAGCTAGGTGTGGCGCGCCAAACACAATCTTAAACCAAATATAAATTCGAATTTCACTTTCATTCCGTGTTTTCTATTTTCAGTGCCACAGCTTCGCGGGAGGTTGCTATTTTTTAGTCATGACCAAGCAACTTTTCTTTATATTTTGGGAAGCGTTGAAATGAAATTATTTTAATTGTATATATCTACTTTCCCCTTCAACTTTGCATGAGTTAGGAAATATTTTGTAAATATTATAAAAATTCAAACCAAAGTTCATTGTAGTTGAGATCCACATATATTATAGGTTTTACTGCCAACTTTACACACAATGCTACTAAATTTGCACGTAAACATACATCTTCCTCCAACATTTTTTCTCATTTCTCCTTCCACCACTCTCTTAACAGATTCACTAATATCCCCTACTCCCCATGCTATTGATATATGAGGCCGAGGATCCTGTAGTCTCAAATGACACAGCATTCTTTATGTTATTTATAATCACATGTAAATCAAACACGACTTATTACAAACTAACCTTGTAAAATTCAGGAAGATTGTGCAGCTTGTAAACCTCATTAACAGCTTGGATCTGTTTCGTTACCTCAGCTACACCTCGTGTTTTATTTTCAACCGAAAGAAATGTACGTGTCTGATCATCATTCACAAAAACCTCCCACTTGTTGAAATCAATCAAATACCTGTTTCCAAAAACTAAAATTAAACTAAAACTTATACAAAGTTTGATGTTGTAGATTTTCAAGGGTTTAAGGTTGACACCGTTTCTGAAACTGAAGTTTTTGGCGAAGCATTGCGACCATTGAGTCTATTTGATGAACACGAATGGGAACAGTTCTTCCAAGACTTATGTGAAATTCCCTCCCTAAGGCAACTTGTATTAGCTTCTCTTCATCTTTTAGCAGCATAGATAATGGAACATCAATATCCACAACATGAAGATCTGGTATGAGTGAAGTGGCTTTCTTCAAAAACAGGGCCAGCTCTTTCTTTCTTTCAGATGGTATAAATACTATAATAATATAACTGGTTTATGTCAGACAATCTCATTAAGAACAAATAAACAGTTGCAATGTAATATTGTCAATGAAGCAGACAGTGCTTTAAAGATCAGGAATTTGACAATAAAAACCTGCAAACCAAATACTTGCTAATAATATGTTGTAAAAATCTAATAAATTACACAACTATAAGTCAAATCTCAACTTTTCGTGTCAACAAAAATAGAGTATAAAACAAAGACTTTGAACTCACAGATCACGACTTCTAAATGTCAATCTTAGTTTATGTAAGAAATTTTTTCCCAATCTTTGAATCCCCTTTCCCTGTAAAATTGGCAGGAATTTCCTTTTATGAATGTCCCATACTGATTCACAGATTTCAAACATTTTGATTTTACTGATTTTGATACACAAGGTCCTCATTTTCTTTGTCAGTTTATTCAGAATTTTTAGTAAAAGACGTCCATCGATCAAGTATTTTGTGATTTTAAAAGTCAGAGTTAGAAATGTAGGAGGTGTAGAATGTTTCAAACTGTGAGGCAAAAATAGAAAAACAAGAGAGAAATGAAACCTGGGATGTAAACATGTAATGCGTAATTGCCTTCGATGTGAGGGAAGCTCCGAATTCTACTGGCCGAATTACGCTGCAAGTAATCGAACGTTCCTGAAAAGAAACCAAAACTTATCATAAAAATCCGAACGCTCCAAGCTCCGATTTTTTTCGTGTCCTTGCTTTTTAGGGTTTATGTACAAAAGATGGACTTACCGGATGAATTGGGAGGGTTAAGAAGGTCGATAGGCGGTGGAGGAAGAATTGATGTTGGTGGTGAGTGGTTGTCATCGGAAGCGGCAACCGGCGGTTGAGAATCTGATTCTGAGTCGGAAGAAGTGTCGCCGTACGACGCGATTAGTGCCTCCATTGCCTTGGTCGAGTGTAGCCGGTAGCGCACGAACAACACCGAATATGTAATTTTACGTTTTTGGAAGTTTTAAAAGATATACTTTCAAAATCGTAAAACATATATTTATATATTTAAAAATTAGGTTACAACCCAACCACAGGGAAAAGATTTATAAAATATTTATGTTATTAATATGATTTCAGTTTTTCTTAATAACTTTTGTATTGATTATTTAAAATTAACATATATATTCATTTGAACATTCGATATATGTTATGTATGCGAATGAAATTTAATATAATTTTGATTTATAAACCAAAATATAAATTTGAATAGAAGGAAACAAAAATATTTTACATATGAAAATTAAAAAGTTATATAATTATATAAATACGTAAAAAGATTTTGTTAAAACACAATTTTTTTTCTTTAGATGTTACAGAAAAAAATATTAATAATCATTTTGAACCACAAAAACATACTTTTAAATCTTCCACATCTATCCTCTCATTCTCTATCAAAAGGCCAAAAATACGTTCATAAAAGTTTCTTTTAACAACTCATACCCTTAAATCAATAAATTTATTAATTTATATAAGTTGAATTAATCACCAAAGCTAGAGTTAAATAGTTTCATCTTTTTTTTTCCTCCTAACATAGTTAATCAATTTAAGTGAAAATATGAAATTTCTATGATTATAAGAATTCGTCTATGTGTTTATCAATTTCTTATAGTCAAATCTAAAATTGAAGGATATTAAGGTGCTGTTTGATTTTCTGAAGCAAAAATTCATGAAGTCTGCGGACCACTTCTGCAACCCTCTGCAGTAGAAGAGGTGGACCAAACGGCTGCAGACTATAATAAGAAGCGTGTTTGTTTTTTTAACATCTGCATACTGCTGCAGATATTAAAAAATTAAAATAAACTAATTTTATAAACCGAAAATAGCTTTTTAATACGTAAAATTTAATAATGTATAACATTTCGGTAAAAATTAATGATATTTCAGTAGAAAAGAATGATATTTCAATTAAAAATAAAGATATTTTAGTAAAAAATAATGATATTTCATCAAGAAATTATCATTATTGAATATAAAAAAATGAAAAATAAATTCAATAAGAATAAACGAAAAAAAAAACAGCCAAAAATGTGAAATAAAATTTTAATAACATATAATCAAATTTTCAGCAATAAAAAAAGAAGGAGAAGATGTTGGAAGAGGCCGTACAAGTGTTGCGTCAAACAGAGCCCGCGCAGAGGATTTTGACTCAGAAGACTTCTAAAAAACAAACAACTGCGAGATGAAAAGTGTTGTGCGTGTGCTGCGCCGCGCAGCAGTACGAGGTTTGAAGAGGTTTTTTCCAAAAAACAAACAGCACCTAAGGGAAAAAGTGTATATCAACACCAAGTTTAGCAGTAAATGTCATCAAGTGCTTCATTTTTCAAGACTTGACTAATGTACCCCTCTCTATATAAATGATTTCAATCTACTCGGCCTCTTCTTAATATCTTTTTTGTAGCATTCTTAGCTGATAAAACAAACAACTTCAATTTCCAGATCCAAAAGATAAAAGTAGTTACAATCGTTAGATAAGGTAATATGGTAAAGTAAAAAAAACGACATTGTTATAAACTTGTTACACAAAAGCAAACACACATCATATACTATTTTTTTTCAGTACATAAATAAAAGTTTTTAGAAAGTAGAACAACATTTAAGGATATGATTTTTATTTATTGTCTAGTCTATGTTCGAAATCGTCTAAAAACCCATTTTCAAATGTAGAATGCTATAAATGACAATTTTTCAGAAAGTAGAATGTTATAAAAGAGTTTTTTATTTACCATGATCTGCATATGAGTTCTAATAAATAGCAAAAAATAAAAAACAATTAAAAAACTTCTTCAGGTTGAGTCATTGAATGAACATTCATATCAACTCCAACAATTATCACCAATATGACCAGGTGCTTTAAAACTTTGGTTGTTTTAATCCAAATGAACAAAGAGAAAGAAAGACCAGAACTCAATGGAGCTCCTTACAAGATACACCTACAAAAATTGTTTAATACTTGTAGAATACATCAGACAATGTACCATTTTTTACAAAATTAAAACAAACATGGAAAGTACCCCTTTGAGCAAAGTAAATAGAGAACCCCAAATACTTCCATCTTTTGTGATTTACATCTTGTAACATGGTCGTACCCAACAAATGAAAGTGTCATACCATATAAATTGCATCATCTCATACAGTATTACTTTTAGTTCAGAAAGAAAAATGTAAAAGTGGAAATGTGCTTATTCCCAGTTATGTTGTTCACCTAAACTTTAATCATGAGAAAAGATTTACATGAAGACTGAATATCAATCGATCTACCAGAAAGAAGCTTTAAAACCTAAAATACAAACAAAAAAAATCAAGAAACAAAGTGCATGATGAAACACCAGAACCTAAAAACCTAAAAAGATCTAGAAACCTCAAACACAAAATCTAGATTAATCGCAAAAAACTGATAAACAAAAAAATACCCTATAAAAATTAAAACCTTAGCCTAATGTTATTTCCAACAGGTCACAAGAATGTAAAATGTTATAGTAATTTGAGTCCCTTCCGATTTGAAATAGCTTCATCCCTTAATAGTACATTACAAATTAATGTAAAACAAAATAAACAAATAAATCAAGAATGGGTAAATCGCACCACAAATCATGAATATGCTTGAACCCTTGTTTCGTCTTCTGTAGGTCTGTATACCCATCTTTTAAAAATCCAAAATATACTTGATTACTAACTTTTTGGGTTAGCCTTCCCCGTCCCTTGCTTTTGGAATTTGGAGCAGATACTGGAGATGTGAGATGTTGACCTCAATATAGCCAATATAACAATTATATAATTCAAAAACAAAATAAAGGCTAAAATTTTGTATACACAATCAAGTACAAATTTTTATGTATTTATTAGAGGCTAAAAAGCAAAAATCAACTATCATATACATCTTGAAGAGTGTAACATATTAATTTCAAAGCAACTCCATTTGAAAGCCTACACAAATACTGATCTATAAACTTAACATCATCTTCCATTGTCATGCATTTACCAAATTCAAGTAAATACAAAAAAAAAATGCAAACACATATCTTTGTTTGCATATTAAAAAATGGGTAAAAAAGAACCTAAAAACACCTACAAATAACTTTCAATTACATCGGCGGGAGGGGGGGGGATGTTTGTTGACAATCTAACTGAAGAAACGAACCACGTCCTTTACTTTCTCCCCCACGCCCATAAACAGTAGGAAAATCTGCAAGAATTACAAATGAAAAAAGGAAATTAATCTTCCAAACACTAACTATCCAGTGGAAGATGAGCGGGACACCGTCCGGGAAGATAAAAAAACGTAAATCATTGAATAATGAAAAAAAAAACAGAACTGAATTCAAATCAACTCAAAATCTTAGGGTTAAAAACACAACCAAAAAGAGCAACACTTGAGAGAGGACGGGGACATCGGTGAGGGAAATATATGATTAAAAAACTGAAATTAAATTCCCCATTTTATTGTAATCTATCTTTAATTTCCGGAGAAAAGTAGATGAGAATAGAAGGTTTATTTTAAATTTGAACACGTATCCAATTTCCAAAGTCAAGAAGGCGAAATCGGAGGAAATTGAAGCGTGATTTAGGGAGTAAATAGGTTAGCCGATAGAGCTTGGGGGTTTAAAAGATGAAGGGCATATTAGGTAGTTTACTTTAAAATTTCTTTAGTGGAAGAAGATGACATGTAGGAAAAAGAGTTTCTTTTATTAAGATAGGGGATATGTTTTGGTCATTTTTGTCACTTATTTTTCGTTTTGTGTTTATTTGTTCACTAAACTATTTTTAAGTTTTAAAAGGTCATCAAACGTTTGGATTTGTGCTCATTTAGTCACTTAACTTTTGGTTTGGTCACATTTAGTCACCTAACTTTTAAAATTATGCTCATTTAGTCAATAAACTTTTAAATTTTTTCAAAAGTTTAGTGACTAAATGAACATAATTTTAAAAGTCAGGTGACTAAATGAACACAAATCTAAAAGTTAAGTGGTTAAACCAAAAGTTAAGTGACTAAATGAACACAAAGTCAAAAGTTTGATTACCTTTTAAAACTTAAAAAGAGTTAAGTGACCAAATGAGCAAAAACTCAAAAGTTAAGTGACCAAAAATGACCTAAACATTTAAAAATATGTTTTTAAGCGTGAGAATAAATAAAATACGCTTTAAAAAAATATATGTTTTTAAGTCTATAAATATGATTTCGATGTGACCTTTAAAAATGTTTTTTAATCTGTAAAAACGTATTTTATATCTTTATAAATATAATTATAGCTTTAAAAACGTAATATATCTTTATAAATATAATTAATTTGTGCGTCTATTACATCCCCTCGAGATCTATTACTTCCTCTCGAGAACATCATAGCTAGCTAGCATATGCTATTACTACTGGACTGGGGGACTTGATGACACGTCCCTCAAAGCGGGCCAGAAGTAAGACAGACCCCGACGAGGAATTCCCAATGAGGCCTGACCAAGACCGACTCGGCCACCCTGGCTACCAGGAACTTTAGCGGGGTGACCGCACAAGAGCCCCGCCTTCGCCAAACGTTGTCCTTCGCTACAGTCCAAAGATAACGGCTCCAGGCGACAAGAAGCACATCCAGAGCATTGTCGTTTGGGCCAATTGTTAGCTCTGACACTACGAGGAACAAGATCTACCAATAAGGACGGCGGATCTTGTCGGGATCGCAAGTCCTTGTCCCTCATGCGTATCGAGGAAGATCCTCAGTATAAAAGGACGTTTACCCTGTCTTGATGGGTAAGATATCATTCCCGAATCCTTAACATCCACACTCATTCACTCTACTGACTTGACCGTCGGAGCGTTTTTTCAGGACCTCCTCTCATAGAGCGGTTGACGGTTTTCCTTTCCTTGTGACCTTTCAGGTTTCTTTCCGACGATTATTACCAGCAGCCTAAGTGGTTGGAGCCTAGGTCGCATCATTTGGCGCCATCTGTTTGTGTGACAACAAATACGCAAACCCTTTCTCTTTCTCTTTAACCTAGCCACATGACAAACAACACAACGGGCGAGTCACCGAAACCAGCGCACGGCCTAATACATCCGATGGCATTGTTGGAAGCAGACAACATTCCAACAACACCATCATCCAGTGGCCCACCAC